AGAGGCACTTTGTGATGGAGAATCCGAAAAAATAAGTTTCAAAAAGTTATAGCCCGTTTTGAGAAAGTTAGAGCAGATTTTCTCTAAACTTCGAGTTTTTCGGGTTTTCGACTCGACCTTAGTATTTCGCTTTTTTCTGAGGGTTGAAGCCACCACCTGATTTACCACCTGATGCACCCACTTCGAAATCATCACCGGCCTTGAGATGGAATCCTTTCGAAGTTGAACTATTATCGAGTTGACCACTAACATTAGCATCTCCTGCTGTGAGGTTGAAGCCACCACCTGATGCGCCCACTTCGAAGTCATCACTGGCTTTGAGATGGAATCCTTTCGATGTTGAACTGTTATCGAGTTGACCACTAACATTAGCATCAGGGGGCTAAATCGATAATTGTAACTAGAAAAAATTTAGTAATTGCCCAAAGCTGCAATCGAGTGAAAATCTAGTAACCTATAGGTTACTACTCATGTATAGATGAGTCAGGCGATACTAGATTCTTTTTGACGCTTGGGAAGTTCATCAACGAAAGCAGAATACGCCCTAAAGGAAATCAGTACATATCTCATGAAAGACAATACTACAGAACGGAGAATAAACCAGAAAGAGGACAAAATGTCGTAACATCCGACGAAGCGGAGCTCGGTAGGGTATGAGAGTGAGTGAGAAGACAGCGTCCCATGCCTTTCGTTATATGAAATTAAACGCTTGACTGAATGGATATGTATATTGACACTTTCATCAGGTAAAATTGACTGTTTTAATATAAACTCGCTTTCCATGTCACAGATGAAAGTATCTTCTTTGTCATAGTATACATAGATAAGAAAAATAGAATGAAATTGCGCATATAATGGTAAAAGGTAAAATGACTCATGACATCAATAAGACGTTATTCACATTTACAACAAAAAAACCGAACAATGTAATTTTATTTAACGTGAAGAAGTTATTGGAGTACACAAAAGGATGGTTGCGTATAACAACATAAATCGGCTCTCGACAACATTTTTCAGCTGAAGGATATAAAAAGTACAATTATAGAGTATGCTGATTTTCGTTGTATCACTTCAGTCCTAGTTGACTCCTTGTTGAGTAATCATTTATATTTATTAAAAGTTAACACAAATGGTGTATATCTCAACCCAAGGAAACATCAGTTATGGGAAAAATCTAGATACATTCCATCTGTAATCGAGCGATATACGACTAGTTGTCATCTAGATAACCAAACTGTTTTTGTTTTATATCTCTTTTTTGTTTTTTGTTTTTTGTTTTTTACTGGGGATGACCTAGACAAGTTCTTGAACTTTTGTCATTACCCTGTCATTTTATTAACATCATGGACTAAAATAAATTGAACTTGAACTAGATTACTAATTGGAAAAGGGACTTTCTATTAGATGTGTCTGCATGTACAACTGACAATAGTTAAATCAATCGATTATCGGACGATAAAAACGATAGTCGCAACTATGGAGAAATCTAGTAATTGAGCGATTGCCGGATTTCCACTGCCGCTGCCAAATGATTGTAATCGAGTAAAAATCTAGTAATCTAGAGAAAACGGGCCATACTAGATATTTTTTTATGCTCGAGGAATTGCTTATGAGACCAGGAATAACTAGGTATATTATTAGATAAAATATCAAGATTATAGATGATTCTTATATAATGGTAACCCACAGAAAACTCTAAGTTCTAACATTGTATCATCTAGTGATACTTTTTGTACTATTGTTCTAATTCTTTTTTCATATAAAAAATGTGAATGCGAAGTTGTTTCTGACAGTTGTAAAACTTTCACTTACAAATTAATACTTTCATTAATCTATTTAAGGTCTTGTTATGAAATAGTTTCATATGTTTCTGATCGAAAGTATTATGTATTACGTGTACATGAACAAGATTTAAACGTAATGAAATAAATTGATATTTTCTAAATTAGATCGTTTTTGTACTGAATTTTTTTATGAAAATCTATGTAGAGAATCACGCCGAAATAGTCATCCGTGTCTCAGTTTAATTTCAACATGGATCTTTCGGAATTTGTAATACAGAATAGTGATTGATAATAAAATATCAGTGAGAAAATTGATTTAAAAGTGATTAATCGATCAATGATCAAACAATCCATAAAAAATTTGGCCAAGTTTTACGTGACGATTTTCATTATTTTTTAACATCTCCGACTGATTAAACTAGCTGAGTCAGGATTCTATCTAAAAATCTCTGGCTTTTTTACATTTTTGATAGATTAAATTAATCGTTTTGACAAAAACAGATAAACACATATTTTCACTACTTTTTGCTATCAAGTAGCATTATTTGATGAGCGTGAGCCATTTAATTGAGACAAAACTACAGTTTAGTGGTCTCACTACCCTTGAGTATCGTCAAAGTGTATGGAAATTGTTAAAGATCAACGACAGGTGTGTTGCACGTAGTAGGGATAACATCAGAAAGCAAACAAAAAAAGGAAGATAAAAAAACAGTTTAAGCTACATATAAAAGTGAAATAAACGCACATTGTTATTGTGATAAACAAAGAAGTAAGCAAAAGATGAATATAACATCAAAATTGAAGATTTACCATCGCCACCATCATTTTTTACTCGCATTTATGATAAATACTTTTATTCATCTGAATGGCTAACTTTTACTGTTTGTATGTATATTACATTTCAATCAGTTTTTTGGTTATATAATTCATTTCTTCTATACATTGAATATAATGATATACCTTCAATTGATAAATATAGAATACAAAAACATAAGCCAAAACTTCGTTTTCAACCAGATATTATTCGTCAGATGAGAAACGGTACAATTAAACATCAATTATCTTTAGTACTTTTATTGCCATTAATGTATTATTTATTAAATTTGGTTGGTCATGTTTCTGTTCGTTCACCAATTCCATCATACTTGACAATTCTATGGCAATTAATCATATTTGTATTAGTTGAAGATTTTCTATTCTTTTGGACACATTATTTGTTCCATACACGCTGGTTATATAAACATATACATAAAAAACATCATATATTTTAACAACCAACGGGTGTTGTATTTGTTTTAGCTGATCCATTGGAATCATTATTACAAAATCAACTTGCAGTTTGGCTTGTACCTATTCTATTAAAAGAAAAGCATATATTTACATTATGTTTATGGGTATGGTTGCGAGTTTATCAAACAATAAATGCTCATAGTGGTTATGATTTACCATATATAAGTATACAATATTATTTTCCTTGGTTAATGTCTGGTACATTACAACATGATTATCATCATCAACATGCAAAAATGAATTATGGAAGTTTTTTTACATTATGGGATAGATTAATGAATACCCATAGATTACAAAAAGATGATTAATTTTTTACTTGATTTCATCTAATGAATAAATGTTTGATCTTATATCGTATATGGGTGGACAAACTAACGAGAAAAGAACCCCAAGTTGCAAATTGTTTTCTCGATGAAACTAAGCAGTAGGGATGTTCGGTTCTCGAGTTAGAACCGAACCGAAAAGAACCGCGGTTCCGGTTCTCGACTTAGAACCGAAACAAAAGGAACCGCGGTTCCGGTTCTCGACTTAGAACCGAAACAAAAAGAACGGCGGTTCCGGCTCCCGACTTAGAACCGAAACAAAAAGAACCGCGGTTCCGGTTCCCGACTTAGAACAGAACCGCAGTTCTCGGTTCTCAGCTTAGAACCGAAAAAGAATTTTTCAGGCACTAACAATTCAACGAAATAAGATTTATTTTATAGTAAACGAAAGGATTCTTTTAAATGATGGCAGGCAAATATATCTTTTTGCAGCTTTGTCAATAGTGTGTTTTCATTTTATTATAAGAAAGGCAAGACAAAAAGATAAGGCAGAAGAG